GATGTTTTTAATTCTTCTGGGAAGATACCCAGCAGGGGAATAGCTGGGCCAAATGGGCCCTCTGATCCTAGTTTTTTGAGGAATCTCCAAACTGATTTCCACAGTGATTGCACCAGTCTATACTCCCACTAACAGTGGAGAAGAGTTCCTTTTCCCCACAGCCTCTCCAGCACTTGTTATTTGTTGATTTCTTGATAATAGCTTTTTTTGCCAAGGTGAGATGGAATCTCAGTGTTCTTTTAATTTGCATCTCTCAAATGATCAGGGATGTTGATCTTTTCTTTATTTATTTGCCATTAGTATATCTTCTTCATCTGAGAAGTGTGTATTCATCTCAGATGGCCATTTTTGGATTGGGTCTTTAAATTTGGGAGTTCTGATTTTTTTTTTTAGTTCTTTATATGTTCTGCATAGTAATCTTTTGTCTGAGGAACAGCTGGCAAATGTGGAAAAGGACATTCTTTAGTTAGAGAAAGCACTGAGGACACAATGATTTTTTTATTGTGGGGGGAGGACTGTGATTGCTAATGAACTGATTACTGATGGTCGGCTTCTGAGCCCCAGCCGTGCTGAGTGCACGTGGTGTGGGGTGTGAAGGCTCGCCCCAGGATGGTTCCCATCAGCTGAGAGGCAGAAATGGAAAGGGATAATGAATTTCTCCTGTTGGTCTGAGTTACGGGCTTGGTTTGAATAAAAGGCGATTGAGATGAGTGATGGGGCTGCAGTCCCAGAGGCTGTGGGCCCCCTGATCCCAGACTTTTGCCTCTCCTGTTTTTCTTACCTCTTTTACCTTTTCATCTGCGGGCACCTCGTTTTCGGGACCTGTCACCACAGTTAATACCAACAGTTTATTGTTTGTTAGGGTTTCTTACGATAAGGTTTCACTATATAGCCCAGGCTGGCCTTGAGTTTACCATCCTCCTGGCTCTGCCTCCTGAGTACTGGATTACACGTGGAGAAGGACTTTCTTTAATTGCTCTTTCAATGTATTGCCTCAGGCCTGATCATGCCGTGTGATTGTTTAATTCTGGAGGAAGTCTAGCAAAAGCATTGGTGGAAAGGATAAGATTGCAAAACCTGTGTCCTTGATCAACACTAAATGCTTTACTGAGACATGCTGGAAGGAATGATAACATGCTGGCTTACTAAGTCAAATCTCATACTTATGATAATTGAGTTGTATTGTCCTTGCTAAGGTGTTTGATATCCGCCCATTTGTACTAGCTGCTTCCTTTGTTCTCTCTCAATAAAAGGTGACTGAGATTGGTAATTGAAGCTGCAGGCCGAGAGGCTGTAAGGCCCCTGATCCCAGAATTTTGTCTCTCTTGTTTTTCTTTTTTCTCTTGCTTTTCTTTTATCCGCGGGTACCTCATTCTTGGGACCTGTCACCCCTGGACAGAATTGGAATATAGAACGACAGGCAAACGTTTTTCCCACACTGTGGGTTGTCTCTTCACTCTGTTGGTGGTTTCTCTTACTGTGTAAAAACTTTCTCATAAGATGAGATCCTAGTTCTTGATTCTTTGTGATAGTTCTTGTGCAATTGGGGTTTTATTCATAAGTCTTTGCCTACACCAATGACTTTAAGAATTTTACCTATTTTATCTTCTAGCAAGTTTAATGCCTCCGTTTTATTTTTTTTATTTTTTATTTTTTGGTT